TAAAAAAATTTTATCGCATTGTACTACAAAGCGCTGAGAACAAAAGTGTCAAAACGATACTCGCAAAAGAAAAACAGCATTAAACGTGAGATGTTTGGGTTAGGAGAATTCAGTAAATAGGTAAAGTGATTCAGACCGAAAAAGTAATCATGATAAGAATCCTTTATTGAAAAAATTTTGCAAAATTGTCTAAAAGTAAATAGATTTTAACTTGTTGTTTGCTACTAAAGTAGTAAAGTTGAGAATTTTTACTAGAATTATATATATTATTAAAATTAATTAAATTTCAATTGAAACGGTGGCTCTGTCATTTACGAAAGGGCAGAAAATGCTGCTTCAGTTAGGAGTTTTTTCCGGTCTTTTGTCACTAATTCCACTGTAACTTCTGTAAAGAATATATCCATTTTAAAAAATTTAAAATGTTCTTTTTCGAGAAAAAAAGTTTTGAATCGTCGTTTTTATTTTCATCTACAATAACATTTGTCAATAGAAGCGTTTTACCACTTTTCTGAATCTGTAAAAAGCAAGCTTTCAAAAAAAGTAAAAATGAGGTAATATAAAAATTGCAAATATAAAAATCTACAAGTTTTTGAAAGTGACCTCGTGGAGAGTAAATTGCGTCTTCTCCCACACTAAAAACGGTCTAACTTTGCTGTTAACGAAGTTTTTGAGGTGAATTCTTTTGGCTTCAGAATTTGGTATTAATTGTTCAAAACTAGGTAAAATTGAATAGAATCTAAGAGGTGAGAATCAAAAGTATGCTATTTGGCATGAAATGACTCATATATATGTAATTACTTGATTATATATTTAATTCTATTTATGTCAATACTAATGTAAAAGAGCTTCTGTCTTTAAACAGTATTTTTTGTATGAAAATTGAAAGTACAGGAAAGTGTCGAAGAATTGACAATAATAAACTGCAAAAGCTGATTTGGACTCGTTTCCTAGTTAGAAAATATTAATTCGAAAGAAGAATTAAATTGTCTTCTTTTAGTTTTCTTTTTTTTTTTTGTTTCGCGGTAATCACCAATTAAGCTTATAAAAAAAACCTCATCTAGAAGAAAATGTGAGAGTATGCAAGAGTAAGACTTCCTGTCTTTCTATTCTGAAACCAGATAAGTTAGCAAAAAGTCTCTCAGAATAAGTCAGGTCAAAGTTAATAGTTATTTTGTTACGCAAACCGTTTGGTTATTGGCAGATTTCATGCATTATACAAGTATGTTTTGTAGCTGCTTCACCGACTTAGTGACCGCGACTCTAGCGATTATCACTTTTATCGTGCTTTTTTATCGACGATTCGCGTTTGTGGTATAGCATCCAAATTTGGGAGGTTTCGGAAATTGTTGCGGAATACAATTTCAGCTGTAGCATGATTAATGCTCTGAGCATCAATTTCAGAAGTATAAGACATCTTATTATGATATATCAACAGAAAAGAGCGTAGTTCAGAAAAAGTCATTTTAGCAAAATGTCAACAAGTTAAAGTTTTTAAAATTATTTGATCTGTTATTTTGTTGCTTTCTTTAAGTAATTCTTAGGGTTGATCAAGTTACCATTTTTCCCCACTTCGGCTGAATGTTCTTCTGCAGAAAACCTGAGAAGATAAAACATTTTTTATAGCAATCTGTGTGTTGTAATGAACAAGAAAAAGTCTTTGCAAACAGTAAAAACTGA